TTTTTTTTTTTTTTTTTTTTTTTTTTTTTTTTTTTTTTTTTTTTTTTTTAAATCGCAATGAAGAAAAACGTAATTTAACATTACTCGTACACACGCCACATTAAGACGGCAGATACAAACATACATATAAATCAGAGTACAAGTACCAAGAATATAGTTAATTAAATATATACATATACAATATAAATAAAATTTAAAAAATATATAGTAAACAATCACATAAATATACTTGGCAATTAATCAATTAATTGTTGTCTTTTTGTCTTTTTTATTTCTAAATATGCGGTGCAAATTTAATTGTTGATTGTCCAATAAACAAACAAAAAAAATATGCATACAACTAAATAATATATCATAATGAAAATCAATAAACAAATACGTAATACGAAAATTTGTGTACGTAAATGCAGATGGAAATAATGGAGCATGTGCAAAGCCCCGTTTCGACCCGCATTAGACTATTAGGCTTCTACGGAAAGAATTTATAGAATAGCTCAAAGGCATTGTATCTATGTCTCTATATAGCTTTTTAAATATAATAATTTATTTGAATTCAAATTTTAATTGCTTGTGACCAAATTTATGATCGAAATGTAAATCTGAAATTACTTATTGTGAATGGTAAAGAATTTGTCCTTAAAACTTTATTGAAATAAAAACTTGAAAATTAAAAAATAAATAAATTAACGAAAAAAAAAAATTAAATATATAAACAAAAATAAAAAATAAAAAAAAATGCTTTAACCTACAAAATATGTTTATCATGTATGTTTACTTATCCACATACATGCAAAGGTAAAAAATAAGAATTTTGTACAAATAAAAAGAGCTATATGAAATAACACAATTACAAAAATCCTAGACAAATTAAATCAATAAAAATAAATGCGTACAATATTTAAAGTGTTAACATTCTGTCAACAACCGCATTGTTCAAAAGTGATTTTATTTCAAAGCTACCAATTATGGGTTCACAGGAATACCGTCAGCAACAGTAATAGCCTTTTTCCACCGGACGTTAAATGCATTTTAGCTTAAATGCAGTTAAACATCGCATTTAAATGCGGTAATTCCCATGTGTTTGTTGTTGTATAAAAGTGAGTTAACTCACTTTCGGCAATTTAACAGAAAATGTTATGTTAACAGTCGTTGCTGTCACTACTAATGTAATCATTTCGGAAGTTTCGGTGTACTTCTTGCCAGAGTCGTGTATTTTCGGATTTAATGAGGGACAAGATTTTTATTTTGCATGGTGAAGTTTTTTGTATAAAAATTTCTTTTTTGCATTAGTTTTAACAAAAATGCCTATATTAAGTAATTGGCGAAGAGAATGCTTCTCCGCCTTCAAAAAAAACTGTAAGAAACAAACAAAAAACAATTGTGAAATATCAAACGGTCCCCTCCACATAAAAATATACGTGGCTCTGGTAGCTATCAGCTGATTGCGCAAAAAAAATAATTTGAGGGAACAAACAAACAAATATGAAAATGGAAACATGAATAAAAGCATTTTCGTTTCAGCAACGTTTGTCCGTGCAGAAATAATCTGCACTTGCAAGTCTTAAGATTGCAGAAATACTCAAATAAAATGAATGCGGTCTCTTTAATTCATGATTTCTATAGTTGTTTCAAATTTTGTAAATTGCAAATGTAAACAAAAATCAGCTGTTTGAGTTGACTCACTTTCGGTGGAAACGTTTGACATTTCACTCACTCAACAGAGGCCTTAAATGCATTTAAGTGCTTGGTGGAAATAGGCTATAAGACTGCAACTACCCATTTCACTTACCAGCCGTCCATAAGTGACGACGAAAAGGCGAGATACATACACGAGTTATCGACGCTGCTGAGAGCGGCGAAATGTTGCCAGCTGCCAGTGTGTTTGCACACTTGAACAAATTCATAATTTTCGTCAACAAATTTCATAATTTATACGCTTGAATATAAACACAAGGCAAATATATATAATCTATATGGTAACAAATAATTAGTTACGGATTTATTTTTCATTTCTTTTGAACAAAACTACGCATTATCTTCGATTATTTAATGTTACTTTAAGAATGGCTATACTGGCAACCTTGTATTGCAACGAAAAGTGAGCCGAGACGGTTTTACGGGAAAATCTAATTTTCGTTGGTTTCTGCGGAACAACCGTCACTAACGGCGTGGGCAAGCGGTGACAACTTTGTGTTTACATGGCGCTCTCATAAGATAGGTTACTATGGACGGCTGGTAAGCGCGTTGGATAGTTGCAGCATTAGCCATATTTATAACACATATACATATGTATACTTAATAGTGGAGAGTTCCACTTTAATTTATATTGAATGACATTGATTTTAGTTATTGTATGTTTTGTTAGAAATGTTTCAACCCTTTTGTCTTAAAATAATATCTGTATATAAAAATAAAGTCGTTTTTATGAAAACAAAACCTAGTTTTAAGCAATTAACTCCTTTGAGTGAAATTCACGAGCCAAATGTATGAAAAGTGCTCTAAACGAATGCATTAGAAAAAAAATTAAACCTATTGAGCTAAACGGGATTAGGTCGCCGGAAGAGTGACAGTCCTTGGCCGGATAAGTCCGGTGCGTAGAACCAGCTGTCGTGA